AAACCAAACATCAAGAGACTGGTCACAGTTGGAGTCTTTTTCAAATAATGCATTAATGCAGTACAACACAGGATTACTCCAACACACATTTGAGATATAACTATGACTAAGATAATGATATTTGTGTACTTGACCGATATTTGTCTTGCCCCAGTACAGATATATTGCATAGGCAACTCCCAAGGTCAAAATATGTCTGCTGCTTACTGTCTACAATAATCTAATAATAAAGTGTTTACTGTTCAGGAATCAGGAAATGTGTTGTTAGCATGACAGTTGTTGCAATGCTGTGTCGCAAAACTACTCTGTCCTCTGAGATTTGTGAAAAATGCTTATAAACTCATGGTGGTGATTAATTATGATGCTCTGAATTCTGAAGTGTGGAGTAAGTTTGGACCACTTTGGATAACTGAAAACTAAGATGAACAGTTTTTTTTGGTTCCCATGTTTAAGACGGTACAAATCAGGTTCAGCGCTTTTTAAGGTTGATTTTGCATAATATGTCCCCTATAAGTAAGAATTTGGCATCAACTGTAAACCTTAAATAAGAAAGCATACCTGTAGCTTTCTCAAGACTACAGTCAGGTCATCTTTATAGTCCCAGTAGTCAATGATAAATGTAGCTTGTGTCCACCCTCTATTCTTAGTTTGTGGTCTCTGAGCGAAAGGTTTAGAGTTACAAAGACATTGCTTCTCCATCTTTATCTTTTATGGTCTTAAAGGCAAAGTGCAGGTTAAACATAGGCAAAAACAACATTTAGGTCTACTCAATGTATTCTAGTCAGAAGCGTATTTTGGCTGAATAGACCTTTTTCACAACGGCCGGAAGTGGTGCGCTGTAGGGTAAATGTCACTTACGTTAATGCTTTTCTATAGCAAAATATCCATAGAAATGTCTTGCGTATTTTCCACCAGCTTCATAAATCTGCCCCATCACCAAATCTTCATCCAACAAGATCGACAAAAGACAGATTCTGTCCATGAAGAATTTATCCACAACTATCAAAGTAAGAAAAACTAAAACGTAAAGGCGAACAACTACAAGCATTATTGAACTAGTCCAGAGCAAAAGTAACATTGTGGTCATGAATAAAACATAAGTAAATTGTGAACTTAGACTGATTATAGAATTCAAATTAAAAAATTGATTTCACGATGTAGATATTGGCATAGACAGAAAGATTTGTGCAGTTTGATGTTCCCAGTCTCGCATTTAAACTGCACAAATCTCTCTGTCTATGCCAATATCCACAACATGAAATAGATTTTTTATTTTAATTCTAGAATCAGTCTGAGTTAACAAGTTATTTATGTTTTATTCATGACCATATCGTTAGTTTTGCTCAGGAGTAGTTCATTAATGCTAGTCGTTGTTCGCCTTTACGTTTTCGCCTTTCTTACCTTGATATTTGTGGATAACTTCTTCATGGATGAATGTTTGTCCTTTGTCGACCTTGTTGGATGAAGATTTGGTGATGGTGGAAAATATGCAAGACATTTCCATGGATATTTTGCCACAGAAAAGCATTAATGTAAGTGACGTTTATCCTACATCGTGGCACTTCTGGCCATTGTGAAAAAGCTCTATTGTAAAACATGATATTGCATTCTGAAACACAGGTAGAGAGACAGTTGGAAAATTATGTAATGAATATTTGGGCCTGACCAGGGAGTTAAACCTTACAGTGTTAATTACTTAAATGCTTAAAGGTGTAACTTTTATGGTGGAGGGTCCGTCAAAAACTTTTCTCCATGGAGATGTTGCTCCTTAGTTTGGAATGTTTCACAGTATTGTATTAAACCTTTCTATCTTCATGGAGACCAAACCAGACCAAGTTACAGGTCAGATCTGTGGAGAGGCAACCCCGCTCACAGTCAGAATGCCTGTTTTCTAAGTATTTTTGAGCTATGAAATCACCTGTGATTGACTAAATTTAAGGTAGAAATGTTTAATGTCATACTGTGGAACATTCCCTGCAGAGAAATGACATCTCAGAGAAAAACATTTGACTGAACCTCCACCAGAAAAGTTACACAATGCATCTTTAAGCATTTTGCAGTTTAAAATCAAGTCATGATGAGTTAATAAGTGCTTTTCACAACTTTTCAAAGCCAAGGCGATGTTTTGCCGTCACAGTAATGCTAAAAACCACTAGCATACTAACAGAACACTTCCTGATTCTCAAAAACGCTACAATTAGATGCAGGTAGTATGTTGCTGCTTATACAATGTAACTGTACTGGGGGAAGACGCATTTTCCCCAAAACATGGAAAAAAATCTGATGCAAGCACTTGAACATTCTTGATGGATGTGTACATTTGCATCAAAATACATCATCTAAACATCATCTACTATTATTAGTCCATTAAAGTAGCCAACACTGCTATATTTTACACAAAGGGTTCAGCTCTCACACATGCAGAGAGAGCACTGAGCCACAGAGACCGGTTTAGATCCATGGGAGCAGCCCGTAGTAAAAGTGAATCGAGGGAATGACGTACGTGCATTGCAGGATCCTCTCTCCTGAGTACGGCTGTTGTATTATTGGAAGTGTATCTGGTGTTGGAGTTAGATGATTGCCATGCCCGGGTCAGGACGGCCATAGGCTCAGAGAAAGGACCTATTTAAATTTAAACAGTGACAAGGACAGTGGAGTCCCCTGTGTGATCCTGCTTCTACTTCTGTGCGTCTGAAGTAGTCCTGTATTTGTCTGAGTGTGTATGCAAACATTGTATTCATGTAAAAGTAATCTACTGTCTTGCTAACACGTGTCTGTGACTGTCTTTACGAGGGGTGAAGTACCTGCCCGTCAATGTGCCATCTCTGAAAGTATTTGGATGGGAGACCACTCGAAATACCAGGCGCCACAGCGGGGCAGCGGTGGCTTTAATGGTGTGTCCTTGGGCAAGACACTTCACCCTCTTTGCCGAGTATGAATGGTGCGCGTATGTGAATGATCGGTAGGACTGATGGCGCGGATTGGCAGCAGATTAAAGTGATGTTTTTTTGTTATTCTTTATACAAATTCGGTAAAATCACAGCTTGATCAGTAGCGGTGAAAAGTCCAATCAGATCAAAAAATAATGACACGTAACGTCATTGTGAGTCACGTCAAATGTTTTATTAAAGGCCACCACACACTACAGGAGAATTTGTCTCATTTTGCCTACGACTGGCATGACCCGATTTTTGTCTTCATGTGTGGTTGTGAAGCCGTGTGTGCTCCTCGTGTGTGGTGTCAGTGTCAGATTGTAACCCCCAAACCACCAGCAACGCTACAGCAACAGTCGATAAAGCAGAGCATCAAGGGCAGAGGAGTGATGGACACAGAGACGCAAGATACAAACTTGGGATATAGCAAAAATAATTATTCCTCACCTCAAGTTTTAAATCTCAACTGCAGCATCTCATCCACATTATTCATAGACATTTTCCTTTGCAAATAATGACTCCAATCCACAAAACCTCGCTGTGAATCCAGTTTGAGTTGTTCTTTAAAAGTAAAAAGGTGAGAGTAGTTCCCGCCGTCTGTTTACATTCACACAGCGCACAGATTGAGGTGAAGCTGCAGATTAGTGATAGTGACTCTACTTCCTGTTCAACCTTCCACTGAATGTATGATGAGCTAATTGAGCTACATTTAGATGCCAAATCCATTGAAACGTAACAAATTATTTTGAAATGACAGTAACAAGTCATAAATAACGCATTACAGTTTTGAAGTAGCTTACCCAACACTGGCTATAATAGTATCTTACCACTACAGGAATGGATGAATAATACACTATAAAGGGCTTTAGGTATCTTGAAACTATATGCTATATTAATTTACTGCATTATAATAATTACTATTAAGTTATCATATAAAAAGAATGACTGGATTCATTCAACCCCAAAAATGCATAAATATAACATTATAGGCTAGGGATAGGATCTCGTGCTACAAGATTTCGCGAGACAAAATTGCTATAAAATTGTGCACACACGCTGAAAATGATGAGCGTGTGAGTGAGAGTTTTGGAGTTAAGCACAGACGAGAAGCCATAGTCCCAAAAAGAAAAGCTACATTGACAGCAGAAATATGAAAGTAAATACAAAATGTTGAGGGTAAAATTGTCAACTGGATTGCACAATTTTTTTTATGTCAAAATCTCATCTCATTATTCTCATAGATTCGATCTCATGTCTTGTCTCATTTTGTGGACATCTCGTCCCACCTTTATTATATGCCTTCTCTTGTTTATAAAGATTACAAAGGAAATTTGTTATATTCCCAGCTGTGTATTTTATACTGAAGATACTCAATATTCAAATTTGTTCAAAACCACATAAAATTATCTCTTATCTCTATTCATAAGCCTCATTTGTGCTGAATAAAAGCTGCTGCAACATGTTACACTTCTATTTCTGTACATCTTTTTGTTTGTTTTGCGACAAAGAGCAATAAACACAGGTACTATAAGATAGTAGTGAGCTCCGATCCATGCAGTTCAATGATATCCTAGTTGGACTTTTAATTTGATGTAGGGTACTGAAGATGATGGGGGTACTGAAGATACCAGCAGATACTTAAAGCCAAAGTATTGATTAGCGATGTAACGATATCCAAATCTCTCAATACAATATTTTCACGATTTACATCTCACGGTGTGATTATTTATTACGATATTTGTGGAGGCTAACAAAACTGTGAATATGCAACTTTTTCCTTTTTAAAGCCTTGAAAAAGCCTTTGGAACAGTTATAATATGAAGAATTAAGATTTTTAAAGTGTTCAGTAACAGTTATTTTTTCATGTAGTCTGCACTGACAACCCCAAAGGATCATGGTCTTTGTAGTTCCCTCTGTTTTTTAGCTGTTGCTGCACCAAAACAATGTGATTCAATATATTGTAATGGGCCACGATATTATTGTGAGACTTTTGACGATACGATATCACATATGTATAAAATAAATAGTTTTCCACTCATGTCTCTCTATGTCTGTTTCCTGTTGCAGTGCCCTCCCAGGAGCGTGCACGTGTGTGTGGGTGAGTGTGTGTGCATGTGAGCGGACACCCCCGGAGCCATGTCAGACCCCAGGGACATCGATGAGGACGCCATCCTCAAGGGCCTGAGCCCAGAGGAGATCGACCAGCTGGAGTATGAGCTGCAGGAGATGGACCCCGAGGTAAAGCGGAGAGCACGGTTCAGCTCGTTCTTATGTGTGCAGGTCATTCAGATCAGAATAGTCACTAACTGTCCCATAAAAGTAACGGTTAAATAACTCCCACAGCAGATCAGGTTCTTACTGTGACAACACATTAAAGAAAGACTATATTTAATCTATATCACTTTTATTTTTATGGATTTTTAAATTGTTTCTAAAAGTAGTATCACATTTCTTTTGTTTTTTTCAACTTAAAGTTCACTATGATGTCATTGCCTGGATGCTCCACAGTCTGACATTAAACAGCTCTACTTTGCTGTTTAATGTCATAATAATGACTGAGGAGGACTGCCTCTCCACATATCTGACCTGCAACTTGGTTTGGTTTAGTTTCCATGAAAATTAAACCAACCCAACCGAAGAAAGTTTTAACGTCATACTGTGAAACATTCCAGACAAAGCAATAGCATCTCCATGGAAACAAGCATTTGACGGACCCTCCACCAGAAAAGTTACACAATGTATCTTTAAGGCAAAGATTCTTCCAATCAAATCACCAGTTCAGAGCATACTTTTTAGGCCATGTAGTAATATATGATTAAAGAGGCTCGCCCAAACTCACCAGAATCCACTACAGGAATTTCTCAGTCCACTTCTCCATGCTCCTGTGCCTTAGTGCTACATCAACATGACCTCTGACCCTGTGTTCTCCCAGAATGCCATGCTGCCCGCTGGATTCCGGCAGCGTGACCAGACCAAGAAGAGCCCGACGGGGCCCTATGACCGGGATGCCCTGATGCAGCACCTGGAGAAGAGCGCCATGGAGCACCCCGACCGAGAGGACCTGGTGCCCTTCACCGGGGAGAAGAAAGGTACACGCTGGAACTTTATATGAGCAGAGAGATGCAGGGGTTGTTTTAAAGTTATATGGTAGTATGGTCAGCTCTGGAGGAGGCACAATATAGATTTTACAATGAAAAAGTTTCAGAGAAGTAATGTCACAAGCCTGTAATGAAGAATCTCCTGGTAGAAGGTAGACTGATATGTGATAAATGATGATCAAATCTAGTTGAGAGAAAACCACATGTTTCCCATCCACAGGTGCAAACATTCCCTGTGATTTCATAGTTTTTGGGTTTTTTTTAAACTAAAATATAGCAACCTAAGTATGTACGTTACCATGTTTGTTTTGGTTGGTTTGGATCAGAGGGTGTATATATGGGGTCAGCCCTCTGATTTTTCTCAACATGAAACTGTAATTCAAGTCATTTTTTTTATTTTTATACCACATTTAAAGGAGTCTTTTGCACCATGACCTCTACATTACATCTGTAGTCAGCAGCTGCTGGTTCGGTGTAATTGACTACCAAATTGGGAGAAATGGTAAAAAATATAAAAATGATAAAGGAAATGTGGAAACATAGGACCTAATTTTGGAAAGAAAACGAAACAAAACAAAAAAAGTGATGGAACATAAGGCTGACTGAACACAGCTCTGTGGGAACATAGGCACGCTTCTGTAAGTGGACATAGCTTGCCTAGATTAGCTTCATTTGGCTGGAGCCGAACGCTATGGGTGACATTGCACTCACTTAGTCCACTTCTTTTATAGTCTGGGCGTTTCACCATTACCTTCCACCCAAATCACAATGCTGCCATGTGATTGGTGCAATGGTCCAGTCTGGTCATTCTAATAATAATAATAATACGTTGGTTTTATATAGCACGCTTCACTGTAAGACAAAGACGCTTCACAATAAAGTAACACTGAAACAAGGACAGGACTGACAAAACGGTAATGAGGAGCAGTCATATGAGGGGGCTGTAGGCTGTGAGGAAAAGGTGTGTTTTGAGCAGTTTTTTGAAGGTGTTTAGTGAGTCTGAGTTTCACATGTGAAGGGGGAGAGAGTTCCAGAGGGTGGGGGCAGCCATGGCAAAGGCTCTGTGTTGAGTTTGTGAACCAGAGTTTACGATTCTCATACTATCCAGTCTAAAACAACTGTGGGGTGAGAAGCACTGACTGTCAAACATTAAAGCATTTAAACAACAGCAGAAGACTTTTACCAGTGCACCAGGCATTCCTCTTCATTAACCATAGTATGTTATTCCAAAGCATTTGTGCACAGCCTAGAAGCTGAGTCTGGATAATTCACAGATCACTGATTTTTGGGGCCAGTTCCATCACATTTAGATTCCCCCTGTGCTGAGTAGAGGGAGAGAAAACCACAGGCAGGACAAACCTCATGAGTGAGAGCAAATAGAAAAGATAAGATGCACTGAAGTGGAGGTTTGTTTTTTTTTTGGAACTTTCTACAAATCCTCCAAAGCCTGAACATACTGGAATATGAAGCAGGGTCATCCACAAGGAGCTTTTAACTAAACTGATAAATGAAGGCTTAAGTCTTTATAAGACAGCTTTGTGACAGTTGCACCATTTCAAGATATATCAACAGCATATGTTTTTTATATTTAACTAAGACATTCAATCATCTAAGCTCAGTTTAACTGCTTTGTTTGTCCATCTTGTCCATTTAGGAAAGGCTTTTATTCCCAAGACGAAAAAAGAGATCCCTGCGCACGAGCAGATTGTCCTGGAGCCTGAGCTGGAGGAGGCTCTGAAGAACGCCACAGATGCTGAGATGTGTGATATCGCAGGTATCTTCACAAACACAAAACAATCACTGTCCAAAGGCTTTTGGAACAAGGAAGGGAAATACTGGAGGCTGGTGTCAACACTTACATACTACTGCAATTGTGTCTTTGGGCAAAGCTAGTGGAGCTGCTCCAAGACCTCCTGGTTCAAGCCCTCTCATAGGTTAAGGTTAAGGTATACAGTACTGTGTGTCCCTGTAGCTTTGTATGTCCTTGTAGGAGAATTTGTCTGCCTTTGATGCATCCCTTAAAGGGCGTACTGTTTAGCTTTTCTGGAGGGGGTCCACAATCTGTTTGTCTCCATGGAGATGTTAATGTTTTGGTTCAAATTGTCCACAGTATTATATGAAACTAATCTGTCTTACATTTATTCTACTACAGGTGTTATTTATTGCTCAAAAATATCTTTAAAAACATGAATTCTTACTGTGAGTGGGGTCACCTCTCCACAAATCTAACCTGTAATTTGGCTTGCAAGTTTCATAAGCTTATGGCCCATACTGTGGCACATTCTAGGCACATCTCCATGGAGACAAGTAGGTGATAGACCCTCCATAGGACAAGTTACACAGTGCACCTTTAATTGCCACTTTGCAAACCTGTCAAGATTAACAGGGAAGTGTGCTGCTAGAAAACTGAACCTAGGACCTTTTTATGAGTTCAGTTCACTGATTTGTGGCTGAGAATTGAATGAATGAATAATCAACAGCCTTGTCACACTTATAAACATACACGTGAACCAATATAAAGAGATTCGATATGAACACTGATTATGTAATTTTATTTTCACTAGAATGTTTTTATTGACTTGTTTTAGATATAGCTTCATAAACAAGTTTTACCTTTATTTACAGTGGGTCTGGGCATCACAGAGTCCCTCTCGATTTCGATACGATACATAATACATGGCTCATGATACGATATTATCACGGTATGGCAATACATGCGATAATTCGATGATACTCTATGATATATATATATTTTTTCAAGAACAAAATCCATTTTAGCCACAATATTTCTTTGATTAATCACTTTTTGTGCAAAGTTAATATGAATTGCGTCTTTTTTAATCATCATAAAAGTGAAGATGTCAAGTGTATTGTGTAAAGTTTTCTTCCACTAAATAAGCAACAGAATTATAGTGTGGTCACAAACTAAAACGTGCTAAAACATGCTACAAAATACAAAATATCGATACAGCAGCTCACGATATGGGTACTTTATCACCAAATTTAGTATCACAGTATACTGATATTTCAGTATTTTTGCACAACCCTAATTTACTGTTAAAATGCTAAAAAAAAACCTACAGTCCCATTACTGGACCAATTGCTTTGATTGAGCTGCAGCAGTACTTCCTGTCCCTGTTGTCATCCATTTGTCCTCATTGCACACATTTCCCACCATCAGTTGTCGCTCTCACGTCACTGGTCGATCCCAGCGCCCTGACCCACATAGTCCAGACACAGACGCTTTGTGCACCCCGGCGGTACCGCTTCATGTGGGTCCCTGGGGTGGGAGAGCTAAGTGGTCCCCCAGCACATAGAACAGGCCACGGCAAACATGCTAAAGGCTCCAATTCTCCGCGCTCAGCAACACCAAAATAAACAGGCCTGGATCGGGACCACGGGAGGAGGAAGAGGAGGGGGAGAGGAAGAGGAGGGGGAGAGGAGGGGGGATACTGTATCTGTCCAAACCAGCAGACCACAGCGGATACGTCAGGAGGTCACAGATAGACAAGACATAGTTTGTTTTTCTACCCTTACTTCCTGACAGAGTTTATGTAGAAATTTGGCCAGCTTAAAGGTCTTACATGATCCTACTTTTAGACATGTTATAATGTAATGTAATCCTCAAAAAGAGACCTGGAGTTGAGTTTTGTTTCATTCACACGTTTGAGTAGCACTGCTTTATTAGTTTACATCTCCAACACTCAAAATGCTCTGCTCCATCTTGCGATGTCATGAAGTGAGAGTTTTCAAGTTATTAAGCAATTCCAGGGTTGTAATTATCCAAATGATTCTCATGAAGGTGTATGAATTTTAAAAAGACAGGGAAGCATTTCCTGTATTACTACATGACATCACAAGGTGGATTAGAGTGTTTCCTGTTGTTCTGTCTGTTCTGAAAAGAGCTCAGCCTAAATTTGGATTTGTGTAAATGAAACGGAACACAGCTCCAGCTATGTTTTTGACAAGGAAATAACACTGTAACATAGATCAGAAAGTAGCATAATATGGACCCTTAAAGATGCAATATGTAACTTTTCTGGTGAGGGATCAAGTGGGAGATGTTATCGCTTTACCTGGAATGTTCCATAGTACGGCATTAAGAGTAAAGGATTTTTTGTTCCTTAAAACTGTACCTCAACAACCACAAATTAAAGTGAGTAGGCTTGCCTCTCCTCAGATCTGACTTGTAACGTGACTGGGTGTAAAGTTAAATGCCATACTGTGGAACATTACAGATGAAAATATAAAATCTCTGTGGTGTCAAGCAAGTAATGGACCCCCATCAGAAAAGCTGTATATTGCATCTTTAAAGTTCCTTATATTTTAACTTATATAGGCTACATTTATATGATGACGGTCTGAACAGAAGACGCAAAAATGGTGTTGCGTTTTCACTTTTTATTCCGCTTTTAGACAAGCGTTTTCAGGAGGAAATCTGCGTGCAAAAGTGTGTGGAATTCGATTGGGTATGCATGCCAGGCGCCTAGGTGGTGACACTAGGTGGTGATGTATGTGACCTAAACTCGTACGCGACATGAGCAGATCTGACCAGAGTTTTGTGTCTTGGGCAGTGTAGATGGAAACGCTACAGCTGAACGTATTGAACTTTTCCACTCTGGAGGGTGGTTTCAGATTTGTGTGTTTTTTAAGCCCCCAAAGCGCCGTCACCGTCTAAACGAAAGGCACTTACGATAAAATATTTTGTCATTTTTACCCACAAGCATTCTCATGTAAACAGGCCATTAGATCTCTGTTTACATTGTTCTACATTGGTGGCATCTGAAAGTAAATGGCTAAGGTTTATTTTAAGATCCCAAAGTCCCAAGATACAAATTGCATGAGTCCTAGTGTGGAGCCAGGAGGAACACCACGACAAATGTTGATATCAATATGTGTTTTCTTCAAATGCACTATTTATTTACTTGGTAATCTACTTCTGTTGCTGTAGAAACATGGCTGCTTTTCAGAGACCACCTATCTCACTGTCACACTACCCCAGAGCATTCATAGGTGTGTTGCCCAAGGACACTTCACTCAACCATTTAATTATTGTGAATGCCAACATTAATGTACTACATGTTACTGCCAACATCCTGCCACATGTTATTTTCACAAGGTCACTACTCTTACAGTATAACGGACAGACATACACAAATATTATTTACCAAGATTAGATCACAGATAGATGTAAAATCAACTTTCATGGGTTTGTAATCATGTTATACTGGTGTTTAAGTAATTTTGCATTGCATCGCTTAGAGATTATTTTTGGGTCGCCTTGTCATGATCTGCATGTAGGTTGAAATGTTAAGACATGTTTTGTATAATTTCTAATCTTTTTGTTATTATTTTATTCACTATTCCAATATTGCTGGTTCAATTGAATGTTGAAAAGAAAAAGAAATGGGCTACATTTACATACAAAATATTCTGAATCAGCACCCTTAAATTATGTAAAAAAAAATAATAATAAATAAAATAAAAAAAAGGTTTACTGACTTTTCCTCAGATTTGCCCTTAGGACTTCTCTTCTGTGAAAATAATCCTTGTCTATTGTCCAAAAAGGCGATTTATGGATCCTTTTATTTCTGGTTCTGTGACTGAAATGTTCAGAGAGACATCACTCAGTCAACAATAAAATATCCACTTTCTTGTTCAGTAATGGTCACACATTTATTTTGTGATTTACGAATAATGTCTATTGACTTCGGTCCTGAAGGTTTGTGACTTTTAAAATATTTTTCCTCAGAAAAAAAGTTTGGGAAATGCTGCTGTAATGTCCTAAATTCAAGGGATCAGTGCTCACAAAATTCCAATTTCCACCTACCACCTGTCTCTACCTACTTCCCTATAATTTCTTACCATTACTCAAAAAATCCACACTATCTTGTAGACTTAAATCATTTCATACAGCCATTTTTCAGCAGTTAAAAAGTAAATGAACATCGGCTGTTTGCTATTACATTTTTGAACAGGAAGTGAATGGGCCTATTTCTTTTCTTTCTTTCTTAACACAAAATAAAACATGCACTTGCTTTGAAACTAGATAAAGTGACAGTGAGCAATACCTCAATTATCATTAGATGTGTGTAACTTAATTCTCGGTGTAATTATAGCTTAGTACATAGAGATGTGACCACCCAGGGTCCAGGTCCCTCTGGCGGCTCTGCTCTGGTCTGGAGGAGGTCCAGAACAGGGATCATGGAGCAGTTAGCCTTTGTCACACTCTTGTTTTGGCCTTTTGACAATCGGTTGAGCAGCTTCACAAGTTCACATGAGAGAGAGAGAGATGGAGAGAGAGAAGCAGAATGACGAGAGAGAGGGTGGACAGGGAGAGAAAGAGAGCTGAGAGACAGAGAAATAGAGACCGATAGAGAGAAAGACATAGACAGACAGAGAGACAAAAGCAAGAGACAGAGAAAGAGAGACATAGAGGGGGAAAGAAAGAAAGAGAGAGCGGAGACACAGAGAGAGAAGAGAGACCAAGAAAGAAGAAAAGAGACACAAAGAGACAAGAGAGAGACCAAGAGAGAAGAAAAAGAGACATAGAGAGACAAGAGAGAGAGAGAGAGAGACCAAGAGAGAAGGAAAAGAGACAAGAGAGAGACCAAGAGGGAAGAAAAGAGACACAGAGAGACAATAGGGAAAAAAGAGACAGAAAAATTAGCAAGAGACAAGAAAAAGAGGCACAGAGAGACGAGAGAGAGAGACCAAGAGAGAAGAAAAAAAGACACAGAGAGACGAGAGAGAGGGAGGAGAGACTGATCAAACTGGTAGAGAGAGCGAGAGATAAGAGATAGAGAGAGAAACAGAGAGAAGAGAGGCAGAGAGACACAGATAGAGAGAGACAGAGAGACAAAAGAGAGAGAGAATAGAAACAGAAAGAGAGACAGAGAGGGAGAAAGAGAGCGGGCACAGAGAGAGAAGAGAGAGAGTAGAAAGAGGTAGAGTGAGAGAGAGAGAGAGTGGGGGAGAGATAAAGAGATGCAGAGTGAGTTACTTAATTTTGATCCTTGATTCGTAGCATTAGCACCGTGGCTATTTACAGCTCTCAACATGATGGCAGTGTGAAAGCAAAGTTACCGCGGCCTGTGTTATGGTGGAATATAAAAGTGCTGCAGTGACACAGTATTATTTATGCTCATCCGCTCGTCTTATGTGATCATTTGTGTTCTAAATGTGTACCTGGATTACGCACACTTAATGTTGCCTCTAGAAACGAATCAAAGAATATCGGTCATGAGGAACCAATGAATGTTAGTTATTCATGCTTAAAGTTGCACTGCGGAGCTTTTCTGAGATGTTATTGGTTTGCCTTGGATGTTCCACAGTTCGTATTCAATTACAGGTGTATTTTATTGCTAAGAACTACCTTGAAAAATGCATTGTGAGTGGGCCTACCGCTCCACAGGTCTGACTTGTAACTTGTCTGCTCCATGTAGTTAGATAAGTTTAATATCGCACTGTGGAACATTCCAGGCAATGCAATGAGTTTTAAAAGTATTGCCTACTTTGCCTACTTTTCTTAGTAGAGGTGTAACGATATCCAAGTCTCACGATACGATATCGTCACGGTATGAACCTCACAATACGATATTTATTGCGATATCGTGGGAAAGCGCATGATATGGTACGGAGGCTCACAATTAGGGAAGTAACAATATCGACATCTCTCAGTACGATATTTTCACGATATACATCTCACGGTACGATATTTATTGCGATATTTAAAACTGTTAATACTGATGATACTTTTTCCTCATAAAAGGCCTTAACAAGACTTAATCCAAAAAACCTAAGATTTAAAAGTGCTTAGAACTGTTATTTCTTCATGTTATCTGCAGTGATATGGAGCAAAGGATCATGGTTTATGTAGTTCCCTCTGTCTTTTTTTTAGCTATTGCTGGACCATAACTCTTAATTTAAGCAAAGACACTTGTAATTCGATATATTGTGATGGTCCATGATATTATTGTGAGAACTTTGACGATACGATATCACGATATTTCTGTTATTGTTACATCCCTAGTTCTTTGCCATTTATGTTTTCTAATCTTATTAATCTTTGTGACAACTACGCCAATTTTCAGCTTTCTGGTCATCTTCAAGTAGTTGGTGACATCACAAAAGACTGCCCTGTTTCTGATCACAAACAATTGGCTGAGGTTCGAAGTTTAAAGCGTGAATCCCTGTTAAATCAATCTTCTTTCTTTCTTCTTTCATGGAACGTGTTGAGGTTAAGCTGGAGATGGAGTTAGTTTCAGCTCAGGATTTCAGGATAAGCCTGGACTTGTTAAGCGACTTTGATGGAATACCCCCAATGTGTCATGTTGCTAATAGTGTAAGTTTAATAAGATATTTGGCTATGGCTTAAAAGAGCACTACGTAACTTTTCTCTGCCTGTCCGTGGAGATGGTATTGCGTTACAGTATGGCATTAATACTGTGGAATAATTCAGATAAAGCAAGCATTTATCCATCGTGCATTTGGATTTATAACTGACTGTCCTCTAATAATTTAACTTTTTTATTTTCTGAATTAAAAGCTATGAATCATTTTGGGCTCAACTTGATGCAATGTCGTATTTTTTTAAAAAAGTCTTCCTCAGTTATATCTTCATTATGTTTGTAATTCTGTGCCTGCCCCTCTTATGTCTGGCACTTGGAGCAGGCAGCTGTCTCCTCATGGGCCCATCCCAAACTGACCCCCACCCCAGCACCCACTTCCCCTTCACCCCTTCACCCCTCCACCCACTCACCCACTCACCAGCACCACATGGGGAAAAAGCGCAGGGGAGATGGGCTGACACACTTTTAAAACTATAGGAAAAGTACCGGCGTCTCTGCCCCCTGGTGGTAGGTCGCGACAGGTGCGCTGGAAAGGCAAACAGTTGGTGCAGAGTTGGTAATGGAGAGCTCATTTCCACGCCGTATTCCGAGCATTAGCACTCGGGCTATTTTGAGCTGACAAACTGTGCCGTCAGTACAGTACAGAGGCTATTGTCTGGAGTAGAGTGGATAATGGGATTAGTAAAGCTGGAGATGGTGACTTACTGCAGCGTGGCCTCTACCATAACATAAGTGCCCTGTCTGTATCTATATGCAAAGTGGGTCTTTCCCAAGCTGTTTCCTTTTACGCAGAGGACATAGGCCTGTATTAAATAAGATAATAGTCCAAAAATATGTTTGGCGATTGATACTTTGCAGCTGATGGTATGTATGGTAGAGGGTGGGCGTGCTAACTACAGGCACTGCACGGTCTGAAGATCTGTCACTCATGTTAGACTTTAATCTGAGCTTTCGTTTGTAACACAATCGGACCGTAAAGAACTGACTTATTTAGAATTACAAATGAGCTGACCTCTGTTGCTAACCAAGTCCTGCTCACATATAATTGCAGTCCCAGCCAACAGTTTTTCAGTGAGCCTTCATCACAATTTCGTTTTGGCCTATTGACAAGTTCACATGAGAGACAGAGAGAGACAGACAGAAAGAGAGACAAGAAATAGGGAATAGAAAGAGAGAGATAGAATAAATGTACTGTGTAATCTTTTCATCTTGCAGCTATCCTGGGAATGTACACGCTGATGAGCAACAAGCAGTACTACGACGCTCTGGGCACCACGGGCACCATCGCCAACACAGAGGGCATCAACAGTACGTACAATGCTCCTTCAGTTCGTACAAATATTCTTTTAGATTAGTTTAAATGAGATGTTGTGTTGTGGTCTCCAGGTGTGGTGAAAGGAGACCCATTCAAGATCTTCCCGGACGAGCCTCCCAACACCACCAATGTGGAGGAGACCCTGGAGAGGATCCTCAGTAATGACAGCAGCCTGACGGAGGTCAACCTCAACAACATCAAGGTCTGAACACAACTGGAACACAAGCATTAGAGCAACCAAGAAAGGAGAATGAGGTTAACTTCTTGGGTTCTTTTTGAAGACAGTACAGTACATGTATCTTTTTGACATGTTTCGGTTGTAAGCTGCAAGCCATCTTCAGGACTGTCACCGGTTTTGGTGGTGATGTGTCGTATATCGGCTGTTGTTACTTCCTGTAGGCGTGGTCAGTCTGGCGGACCAATCAAGTTGCTCAGACTGACCACGCCTCCTGTCGCCCGGTGGGTTCTGGAGGAGGGAGTCCCAGGTGTGTGAAAGAAGGAATGCTCCATCTTCTCGGTTGATGCTGTCCATTCCCTGTTTCTTAGTTGTTCTTCCATCCAATGACCCGTGTCGCGTCCTAATCCATACTGTGGTACTGTATTGTTTTTCAAAAGAACCCAAGAAGTTAATGTACAAAAGAAAACAAAATCAAAGTTTTGGATGAGGAGTTTATAAAAGGGATATACTTGGGCCTTAGGCCCTGGCAGGGTTTTTCTTTTGTCTCCATGGATACGTTATAGCTTTGCCTGGAATGATATAACATTGAACGTGTCATTATCATTATTAGAATTTAGCTTAATTAAATCTAACCTGTAACTTGGCATTACTGTGTATCCACATGGACATGGATACATTTAATGCCATATTGTGCACTCTAGGCAAAACAATCATCTCCATAGAGACAAATAGGTGGCAGACTCTCCACTAGAAAAATTACACAGTGCATCTTTAAAAGAGACATAGTATGTTTCTTCCTCCTAATATGTAATACTAAACTATAATACAGATATATAGATAATTATTTTACATTTAGTTAATTGCAAACCACAAAACTGATCAAATTGATACTGCAGACTTCCTTTTAAGATTTTTTATTTATTTATTGAAATATGGCTACACAACATTTTTAACTTAAATGTATGACCCAAAGAAAACAGCAGTGGAGAGAGAGTGTATTTATATGAATAGCTAGACGAGGTGATTGGTGGAGACAATAAGATAAGATAACAGGAACTAGAAGGATAATAAAATCTTCCTTTTTGAATTCTGACTACAGTTTTATGAGGTTGTAATAAAAATACCTGTACAACAACAAACATTAAAGGTCCTATATTACACAAAATGGAATCTTCAAAAACATACCTGGAGTTGTGTTTTGTTTCACTCACACATGTTTGAGTAACCTTTTATTATTAGTCTCTCTACATCTTGAAAGCTCAAAATGCTCTGAAATCATCCAAATAATTCTAATAAAGGTGTACGGTGTATGTTAAACATGTTTAAACACAACAAAACACAAATCCAAGTATGTTTGTGAAGAGGAACCAACATTATTACAGAGATTAAATTAGTGTTATATTGGAACTGAGAATGAGGGAAGTGCTTATCGTGTATAAAACTCATGATGCCATCTAGTGGTCAAACACCTTTCTGAGTCTCCTTTGCTCTTGTTTCTCTGCAGGACATTCCCATCCCCACACTGAAGGAAATCTTTGAGGCAATGAAGGAAAACTCACACGTGGAATCTCTGAGCATCGCCGCGACCCGTAGCAACGACCCTGTGGCCTACGTAAGCAATCTGGTTTTACCATTTAAATCTCTTATGCATGGGTGGGGGAATAATGAGAATCTAAGGCTGTTACCATAGCGATTTAAAAAATAAAAATATCTTATTAAAATGAAATATAACTTTTGAATGGGGGAACAGTCCTCCAAATCTGGACAGGAAGCTCAAACCAGTGAATATACACTACCAGTCAAACACTTACACTTTAGGTTCTCTCTGAAAGCATCAAAACTGTGAATGAACACAAATGGAGTGTAGTGAATAAAAAAGCTTAAAATATGTCTTATATTGGAGATTTTTCAAAAGGGACTCTTTTTGCTTTAATCACTTTAGACATCATAACTTCAATATGTATCTACAATGTGAAAGCTGTAAACATAAAGAAAAGACATTGAATGAGAAGATGTTTTCAAACTTTGGACTGTCTTTATAGTGTAGTGTAATAGTAATAGTAATAGTAGTAAAAATATGTAATGAATGAATGTTTATTCATAAAACACACATACAAAACTTAAATACGTAGATATAAAAAATGTAAATACATAGATATTAATTTTTTATTTGTTTGTATTATATTTCTTTACTATAATAATAAACAAAAATAAATGTCACTCAGATTTTACTTGTCCGAAAAAGGAGTGGGAGGAAGTAAATACTTATTTAACCTGACCCATATACACGTCTCATTTCCTGTACATTATAAGCTATAATTGCACAATACTTGCATTTCATTATAAAACTAACAACAACATAAATATACATTACATGTGTACTTTTTATCTTAGGCATGTGCTGAGATGCTGCAGGAGAACACAAGCTTGCAGAGTCTTAATATTGAATCAAACTTCATCACTAGTGACGGTATGATGGCTGTTATCAAAGCCATGGCCTCCAATGCCACACTGGTGGAGCTCAAGATCGACAACCAGGTAAGAAAGACTCTCCAGAACAGAAGATTATGGCAAATTCTCTAATAAAATTTATCTGAATGTTTGTATTTGAATGTGGTGCAGAGGCAGAGACTGGGAGACTCAGTGGAGATGGAGATCGCCTCCATGTTGGAGAATAACTCCAGTATCTTGAAGTTTGGATATCACTTTAACCAGCAGGGGCCCCGTGCCAGAGCAGCCATAGCCATCACACGCAACAATGACATGAGTAAGTACTGCGCTGAATATATGTATACTGTAGTAGATGGAATGCAAAGTGCTGTACTGGGTGCTCAGTTCATTATTATCCCTTCTCTTTCTGCAAATACCTGAATTGAACGGAACTTTAAAGACAAAAATTCTGAAATATGAGTGAAGTCAGCTATAGGGTAGTTCAGGATCATTGATATTATTCACACTTGCTACTATTTTAAAAGCAAAGCTGTCAGTCTGCACCATCAGTCACTCCAACCACCACCTACACTCACGTACACTCACACCACATTCATACTTGGCAATGTGGGTGAAGTGTCTTGCTTAAGGACACAGTGACAGTTTTTACCACTGCTAACTCACTTTTTTCGTAACGGTCTCCCATCCAAGTACCAACCAGGTCCAGTCCTGCTTAGCATGTGAGATCTGATCAAATCAAGCTCTGACAAGGAGGTTTGGCCACCGCCTTAAAGTTGTGGAAAAACAGAACTACGTCACTGTAAACTGTTTGCAGTGGTCATTATTTCTCACTTCCCTTGTGAATTCTGAGCATTGTAATTATTCACCACAATGAGTCTATAACAGGGGTGGGCAATTCTTTTTTCCATGGGGCCACATGAGAAACAGAAAATATCGTGGAGGGCCGGGCCAAAATGCTAAACTCAATTCTGCATAATATTAATTGTATTTCTTTATAAAAAGCACTAAATAGCATTGTTTTTGACGAGCTGGTCAGACTGGTAAGCGCTTATGTTATGATCAAGCAATGAAAAAGTGAGGCAGCCTTACAAAAATGTCATTTAAAAAAACACCTCTAAAATAAACGCAATGCAGCTTTAGTCTATGCATGAGGTAAAATGATAAAATATGTTTATTTTGTCATTCCAAATTACTGTATTTTCCGCACTATAGGGCGCACTCATAAGCGTCTAACCCCATCAAAAAATGACTGCGCGCCCTATACACGAATCCACTCGGGTGTCCCAGCACGACTTCAGTAAACTACAAAGCCGCACCACCAACAGCGCACGCAAATACGCACGGTGCAGACAGCAACCGCGCAGCAAAAAACACCCGCAGTCACACTCATCACTCCATGCGGACGAGGAATGGAACGGAGGAACAAACCGAAAAAGCGAGTGCAATGTGCCACTTCTAGCCACATCTGAGCAACTGAGACACTGCTAACACGCCAACAATCCAGCGGTCCCAGACAGCGCCCTCCCTACACGCCACAACTGAACAAAGCCCAGAGTCACCGTGAACACACCAAACAAAGTCTCACTGGCCCATTTAACTGTTGTTTCATTTAATGCGCCTTATAATCCAGAGCGCCATATAGTGCGGAAAATACGGTATTTTAAATGGGCCAGTCAGAGTCAACCAAAGAGCTAAATGTGACCCCAGAATTGTACAATGCCCAGGACTGGTCTATCAGCATTTTTCAAGATTTTTTTCACAACAGGTGGTGCATAAAGTGTACCTTAACTTTAACCCTAACCTAAGTACATTTCTCTCTCTTCTTCAGTTCGCCAGCAGAGACTAAGATGAGACTCTCTAGATTATGAAGTCACCAGTCTGCCTTCCTGGAGCCAGATCGTGCCATCGGCCTACATACCCCCAACACGCTGCCCTCCTCCATGTCCCCTTCCAGAGGATCTGGGGCTCTGAGTGCATGGTCCACACCTCCATCATGTTCTGCCATTTCATTTCATGTGCTGTAGACTGCCCTTCTCCATAAAGACGTGTGTGGGTCAACCGTGAGCCGTGTTTTTTGTGCTTTAGTCTGTGATCACTGCCAGTCAAAAGTTTGGACACATCTCATTTCATTTTTCTTTTTACGTTGTAGCTTCATACTGAAGACATATGAGGGATTGTGTAGCAAAGAAAAAAGGTTAAATTACTTTTACTTAGATTCCTCCTGAAATGGTTTTCACTTCACAACTGTGCCTTGTCTATTATTTGTGGAATGCAAAGAGTGTGCAATGGTCAAACCAAACAAATTTTCAGATATTTCACACTTTCCATACATGTTCATTCATAATTTTGATCCTTTCAGTGACTTTACAATCTACAATGTAAATAGACAATGCAAAAAAAGTAATTACAGTATATGAAAGAACGTGCCCAAACTTTTGACTGGCGGTGTCCGTGCATATCATCCCAGTCAGAACGCGCCCTCATCCATGCCAAATGTTCAAAGTGGTGCTATTTGTGGGAAAGAAACATTCTGTAAATAATTGAATTAATAAACACTATATATTCTGCTATTATTGTACATGTTTGCACGGTTTAATCTGAGTAATCTTGGTGGGTCATGTGGACAGAAGAGCTCCTTTGAAGAGGCTGTTGAACCAGATAATTAGTACTAAACATAGTCCTAATAGTTATGGAGCTGTGGTAAGTCCTGTTATTACCATGGAGTTTAAAACAATTGTACTGATCCGATACCTACCCATGCCAGGCACATGCTGCTATCTTACAAGTATCCTGCACTATTAAAGGAATCAAAACAACATCGGAGCCAGCCATTTTCACGTGATTTTTGTAATCGAGGAAAATAAAACAAGGGCTTAGACTGGTAATATAAACACTTACTCACTTAGACTAGTGGAACAATCTATAATCAATCTTATTAATAAATGGTCTTATTTTTAGTTTAGAGTGACCAGATTTTCAGAATAAAAACCTGGGTACTTAAGGAAAATTGCTAAGCACTCGGCACTAGCACTCGGCAGTCAGTATAGTCACGTTTTCTTTGTGTTTTGGTCATTTTTAAGCAGCTTTTCTGTATTTTACTTAAAGAAATGAAAATGTATGCCTCTCTTTACTGTTAGTAGACATCAGAATGGTCAAAAATAGGGACACTTGGGACATTTCGTGTATAAAACTGGGACAAGTCACTGGTTTGGGATAAATCTGTTGGGACAGGGGACACGGAGCTCAAAACTGGGACTGTCCTGGGTAAATAGGGACATCTGGTCACTCTTATTTAGTCCTTATTTAGAACAAGCTGAGAGATTCTTTTTGCTTTCCTGCATTTGTTTTTGTCACTGATATCGACCATCATCATTGACACCATCTTTAAGAATGAGAAACGACCAAAAATATGAAGGTATGTACTTTTGATTTACTATGAATTTGAGACACAACTTCATCAGATTTTGAGGATGTTTTTTCTTTTTCTTTTTCAGTTCACGCTGTTTATTTAAAGGCAGCTAGAGAAATACATATTCTCCCAAAATTATCCCAATAATCAGTTCATGAGTTTCAGCTTCCTATTATGCAACATTTAAGGTATATTATTTAGTTTTAAAGGTGCACAATGTAACTTTTCTATCACAATATGCACTCTTTTGATTTAAAAGTTCCACAGTATGGCATTAAACCTCTATATCTTGCTTTTAATCAATTACAGATGTTTTTATTGCTCGAAAATATCTTGAAATACATGCATTCTTGTTATGACGGGGTTGCTTTTCCACAGATCTGACTTGTAACTTTACTTGGTGGTGTTGCCCGCTTTAATGCCTTATTGTCGAACATTGCAGCCAAAGCTATAACATTTCAACACAATTAGGTGATGTATCATCCTCCAGAAAAGTTACATACTAGTATATTGCCATGGCTATAGCAACAGTCCTCATTTATTTGAGCTCTGAAACCAATGGACAGAAACAGCCGGCACAGAATTCAGACTAGAGCATGGATTTCAGTTATCTCCGTCTCCATCGCACGCTAATATGACGACTGTTGAAACTAAGTGATAATATTCCAGTAAGAACTCCCTATACCAAATCTTAATCCTCCACAATCTCCCTTGATCCTGTGACTTCCCCCAAGCACCTGGTCTATATTTACCCTCCGGACCCCCTATGTGAAACCCCAGCCCGGGCACTGGGGTTTGGGTTACCTCTGGGTTAAACATAGGAGCGGCTCTGAGGGGCTGGTGGGCGGCCATTTTGACTGGCCCAGATTTATGAACAGAGACAGCTGCTAACCTCACAGGATTCTCACAGCATTACTGAGCTTCCTCCACAACAAGCCACTATTTCTGTAGCTAATGTAGTCATGCGCATTTAGAACATATGTGTAAGTGCAGCTGAGTTGGTTAGCTTTTAAGACTCAAAATCTGTATAACAATTACACACATGCATAATTGGAATTAAAGGGACAGTTTAGAATTTTGGACATAGGGCCTCATTTCCTAGTGAGCTAGAGTGCTGTAGATGTGTGGGGACACTTTTTGAAATAATCTATCCAGTCCTTGTATTTGCAGAGGTCGCTGGCGCTAGGCTAGTGCAAGTCAATGGCCATAGTTAGCCTGCCACTAAAAACAGTCTTACCCACTCCACAAAACACCCGAAGCAAATCTATTATTACACCAGACTGTCGATGTGAATGGCTGCATCAATAGAATAATTTTACAAGTAAAACTAACCTTGTATCGCATGAATCATCGCATCGCAGTTTTGAGGGACTATTTTCTCAGCAGCAGCGGAATTTTACCCTGCTCTAGTTAGCTGTGATGATATAAAAGTGGCCATATCTGGAACAGGTTTCTTCATGTGCTCTATGTGTCACTACAGCAGCTACAGGTAAACAAACTATTATAGAGCCCTTAAACATGTACTAGGCGATATCAGTCCACTGCTGCCAAGCTTTCTATCAGGAAGTACAACTCGCTGCTGCTGCTCAGATATAAATCCTTCAAATGCAAGGTTGGTTTTACTTCTAAAATTATTCTTTCGATACAGACATTTACATTGACAGTCTGGCGTAATAATAGATTTGCTTCGGGTGTTTTGTGGAGTGGGTAAGACTGTTTTTAGTGGCAGGCTAACTATGGCCATTGACATGCACTAGCCTAGCACCAGCGACCTCTGCAAATACAAGGACTGAATGGATTATTTCAAAAAGTGTCTCCACACATCTCCAACACTCTGGCTCACTGGGAAATGATGACCTATGTCCAAAATTCCATACTGTCTCTTTAAGCTAAATGTCTGCTTTGTTTTGATTTTGTTCACGAGTTTGATTGCCTCCTGTAGCCTCCATCAAATGGTGTTGTGACATGTCATGGAGGCTTCTTAACTGGTTGTGAGAAATAGTAGAGAAAACCTACAACCTTTACTCCCTGATGCCTTCTCCAGAACTGCAACCCAGGTGTGGGACAGTGTAGGCTCCCTCATCCTGATTCATGGTTCTCGCCCACATTTCCGGATGCTGGTCTTCTTGATCTAGTTGTGGTTACTTTCAGCACTCAGCACTTGCAGACCCAATTTTTACCATAAGTAAAAGGTGAAGTTTTGGTTTGCAATGGGCACAACTGGTATGGGGCCAATTAACTGAGGTGTAAGTTTTGAACCAACATGAACATGAGTCTGTGTTATCCCTCAGTCGTCCAGGTAAATTCCATTGCAAAAGAAAATGAAATTCTGTCAACTGAACAAAAGTGGGAAAAGTGTCCACTTCACAGAATTCAGTTTTCTTTTGGAAGAAAATTCACATAACAATCTTTTCACACAGGGTTGCAGATCTGGTTGAGGTAATGTAACCTAAATAAAATCAATTATTAGGACTAGTTAATTGTTGCAACCCCAAATTAGCATTTCTCTGTAGTTTTAAAATGTAAATGAACACAAAAAGGACAATTCATAAATCCATATTGTCATCCCAGCTGCTGTGCTATTTAAGATTGTCATCAGTCTCTTATGGAACAAAATAATACTGTGATCTTCTTTCATCACATCTCACTAAAGTCAACAGTGTTTAAGTCAGCACCCCACACTAAACCCAACCATCTCAACCAATTTATACCAACTGTGCAGAGAGGGGCCAGACTGGTGCTTACGGCAGGACTCTGGTCAGATTAGCACCAAAAGGACTCCACTGCTGCTGGGTAAGGCCACAGATTAACCAGGCTTTGTCCACATGACACAGACATGCAACTGAACTCAGCTAAACAAATGGACAGCACATCACTGGAAAATGGGCTCTTTAGGTTTTCATACACACCATACTTTTTTCAAACAATACCTTAACTTCAAAATTTTTGAATACTCTTCCAACCTATGTTAATAGCAGCATTCATGAGCACAAGAGCACATAAGTAGTTCAGTGTGTGTACATGTAGATACATGTATGTATCCTCTGCTCCACACGAGCACGAGTCAAAAAAGGTGCCTTATTGATATTATTGCAGTGTAATCCAAGTTGCCTTGATGTTGATTATGAAAAACATTAAAATTCATGTGGTTTACTGTGTGTTCTTGCCATATTATTTCTATAGGTAGCACTGGTTGGCTTTGAAAGTTTGAATGGATCTTTGTGTTTTGTCCTCTATAGGCCTAGAGTGCGTCTTCAATAAAGTCATTTCTTAAGATGTGTAACCTAACATAGGCTTTAATTAATAAAGCATTGGTACACTGAAAAATAAAATAAACAATAATAATCCATATTCAGTGTTTTGCATTAACAGAGGAGATTACAGTCTCCCCCCACAGTACACTGACTCTTTCTATTTGTTATTACTGTGCCTATGATTTTCCTCAGTATGGCATTAAACTTCGGTGTATTGCATTTATTCCGTTGCAAGTGTTTTAATGCTAAAATACCTTGACGATGCATTTTTACTGTGGGCCAGTCACATCTTCACTGATCTGCCCATAGATGTAGACCATATAAAAAATACTGTGGAATGTTGTATGCACTTGACTGGTGCACATTTTGAATCACATTCTAGAATTTGAACTCCTGTTGTGGATACAAATTGATGTTTTCTTCTGTAGTGGCTCTAAATGGTAAGTCGAACATGTTTTGCTGTGGCCTTTGCTGTGGCCTTTGTTTTTGCCTGTAAACATTTTCTAGTTAGTATGGGCTGCATATAAACATGATAGATAAGGTTCAGATTACAGCTCAGAGTTTCATTGACAAACATGGATCCTGTGAAATTTTCTCTTGAAATATGCAATTAATCTGCTACACTATAAGATTAAGGTTAAGGTATACTTTATTATTGCGTCATGAGGGAATATCATTCTCTGCACTGAACCACCAGTGCCACTGGGGCAACCAAGAAAATGGAAAGCAATCTAAAAAAAATCCAATGCTTTAATGAATATGCCCATTTTATAGGAAAGCACCATAGGCTGTATATAACACTTCTAATAGTCCTTGTAAAAATATAAATACAGTCTTTAGGACAATAATGCTATGTGGACAAAGATGGAGGCTCCTCTTCATCTGAATCAAACTCCACATTGTCATCCTTGAGCCACTGTCCACTCCTGTCCTGGATCCAGCCGGCACTGTTGACACACACACAAAAAAATTTGGTTGGACAAATATATGAGACTATATTAATGCATTAGTCTTATAGAACTCTTTTCGAGATGATTAAAGTCGCTACAGACTGATGGAAGCAAGGCTGCCTAGGGCTACACTTCCCGGGGTCTCCTAGGGCTGGCCGTGCTTAGCTTCAGTGATCTGATGAAATCGGGCTTTGAGAAGGCAGTTCGACTAGTTCGACTTGTCTTACCTTTTCAACTTGAGGTAGTGCTCCAGTTCTTTTTTCCTCTGCTCTGACATTGGAGGAGACTCTTCCAGGTGTATTTCTGTGTCAGAGAAAGATACAAAGGGTGATGTATAATGTTTTCAGTTCAACTACATTGAATATTTATTGTTGTAATTATTTTCTCTCTAAGATATTTTCCAAGCCATTAACACTAGGACAAATGAATAATGCTGTGTTAGCAGAAAGCAGAAAGGGAAAATAGAGACATAAATAGTAAATATGTGAAAATAATGAATGTACCTTTAGTGATGACCGCCTTATCAGTTTGTGTTGTGGCAGTAGAATTTGTTGATGTTGTAGCAGGTTTAACTTCACAGAGTCTGGAGTTGTGACTGAAATTGGATGTGCTACTAGCTGATTGTTTTTCTGACGTCGTGCTGCAAATGAATAATCCATTCAAACCCATTTAACCTTGAATTTTATTGTTTTATTTTTAGTTTTTTATTTCCCTACCTTGTTTTTCTATGGCAGCTGTTGTAAGGGACTGTCCTCAATAAGGCGTGATGGGTGAGCTTTCTTGTCTGAGCCAGTAAAGGGGCCGAGCTGGATTCTTCCTAAAATACAGTTATTATCAAGATTTTAAAATGCCCCCAATGCCATTATTTACAGTTTACATCATTCAAATAAAAAATAGGGATGGGTGATATGTCGGTTCAGTTAGTTATTGAAAATGCTGTCCTAATCTGTCTTCAATGAACCAGATCAGTCTTTCAGAACAAACAGAAAGTAAGTAAATATGGAAATTGAAGGGTAAACTATGACTATACAGTATGTTGTATGTTTTATACTGCAGATATAACTTTACTATTACTTTACTATATAACTTTTGGAAAATTCCTAATAGAAAATCTTAACCAATTCCACGTGGAGTTTCATTTTGAACCATGTGACACTGTCACATGGTTTTCAACAATCTGCCTTTGTCTTTAGTAAGGGAACTTCTAGAGAAAGTAACTGATACCATCTCATGATTCTTTGGACTTCTAAATTGCATGGGAAAAAACACAAAATACACTAAATGCAATAGGTCAAACAAACCTGAGAGTTTTCTTCAGACCGAATGTAGTTCTCATGTTTTCTTTTAGCAATCTCATTTTTCAGTTCTGCTTTCTTCTTGTAAAATCTCTTGAGACCTGTAAAAAACCAATGAATAAAAGACAATAATTTTTAATCTTTTAAGCTATGCCATAGTAACAATTACATATAAAAACAAGTATTTAAGTGTTTTTAAGTTTCTGTAATAGACCTTTATTCACAATGACCGGAAGTGCCCCGCTGTAAGTTTGTGGGCCTTCTGGTTAATGCTTTTCTATGGCGAAATGTCTGTGGAAATGTCTGGCGTATTTTCCACCACCTTCATAAATCTGCCTACCCCATCACCAGGAGACATTTCCACAAATATTTTGCCATTGAAAAGCATTAACGTAAGTGAGGTTTACCCTACATCGTGGCACTTCCGGCTGTTGTGAAAAAGGTCTATTTGTTAGCTTATACTGTAGCTAATTCAGTCTTAACTCGATATTTGATTTGTTTAATGCTATATGAGGAAAAGAGCCCAACCCTTGTGTACTTTCTGCCATTGTTTATATACTCAGTATTTGAAAAGGGCAGAGCACACAGAGACTATTAGAGGAAAATACAGTTACTATTGTTAACTTTTAAACTGAAATTGTTAAGAAAGTGATGGTTTGCTCAGATTTGAATCATTTTCTGTTTAGATAAGGTTAGACAATGATTAATCAAAACATCAATTGTAGCACAACATTTATTAGTAATAATAGTGCAAACTCTAATCTTAATGATACACACATATATTTAACTTCATTCTCCTTCAGAATCACTTGTATGCAGGTAATGAGGAGGGTAGTGTGGGTTGAGACCAGATAACAAATGATTATAGGTTATTTGATGACTGAATTAGTTAAATCAGGATTAAGGAGACAGGCAGCCGATCTTACCCTCTAAATGTCTTTTCCCATTCCGATGCACTGTCAGCATGTCAACGGTATCAAACACTGGCCCATAGGAACACACAAGACACGTGTATCTACAATATATACATGTAGGTTGTATTAAATAAGCGACATCACAAAGTCAATCGAAATGCATTTACCTTCCATTGCTCATAATAGTCGCTTCATCTTCTGGGATATAGTTGGACAACAGGTCTGCAACCCGTCGTTTCTACAGTACGGGAGTAAAAAAAAAATAGAAAATGATCAGATTTTGCATGCTCTGTACACTAGATCAGCCAGGGATGCTTATATGCTAACACTATTTAGCATCGGAGCTACCACTAAAAGGCAATATGAACCAATCAAACCTACTGTTTTAGCAAATCTACCTTTAGCACGTTTAGCTGGCTCCTATCGTCACCTTCACGTTTAAAAGACATGTTATTTTTTATGTATTTCCGTACAAAACGATTAAAAAGTGTATCTCAGAGTTAACAGAACGCATTTGTTTTGGTTTTGCTCGTTACTTCCGGGTTCTTTACGTTGCCTTCAAAACAATAAGAAAAATCGGGCGCAATACACAAAGCCGACAAGCAGCTTTTTAGCTTAAATTGAATTCATAATAATAATTACAAAATAAATAAACTAACGCCTTACAATCCAATATTATAACATGAGCCAATACACATGTTAAAATACACTAGTTAGAAATGTTTGAATAGAATTTACTTAAAAATGAATGCGTGTTGTCAACTCCAACGCAACTTAAACGCAAACTTGTAATCTATGTTCTTGAACGCACCGTAGGTCATCTGACTGGAGATGGGACAGATGGGAGGACGTCACTTTACGTAGGTACCAGATGGTCCGTGGATGCGTAAAATAGGTGTAGTTTGTGTGTTTTATAGTTTATTTAAACGTTTTAAAGGGCGATAAAAGAGCGGGTATGGCTTAGAAATACGTTAAGATCTTCGAGTTTAAACTTCCACTTCGTTTGCCGTAGAAGTTTACCGTTTACCAGTCCGTGCGTAAAGTTGCAAGTGAAGTAAGCCGCTTTTCGTGATGTAAACCATTTGGACACTTGTCGATAGATTCCCAATCGGTGTCCCCGGTTATCTGACCTGTCGACATGTCTGGAGAGCGGATAGCACTGCCCACCTGTAGCCGGACCAGGTCGTACGGCAGCCTGGTTCGGTCCCCGCTGACTCCGACGCACCACGGGCGGGTAGAACACACCCTGCAGCCCGGGGAGACGCTGCAAGGCCTGGCGCTCAAGTACGGAGTGACGGTGAGGAGCGCAGGTGTTATTATACATTTACATTTACAGCTGATTTGGATGGAGAAAGGCATTAAACGTTTAGTCACAGGGTTCGGGTAACATTCTTCTAAAAGACTGACACATGGCGACACCTAGCCATGATAAAGCAGGTTTATGGTAACACTTTTGATGAAAAAAGTTAGAGCTTGAATTAAAGATGCTTTTGTTTACTCAACAATGGAAGAGCTTTACAGTAGTAGGTCTATACTAAAATACTCTCTCTTGGTATGACCTCAGCAAAGTTCCTAAAGTAACAAACTAGTTATTCAATCATAGACTGCACATAGTCTCTCTCTATTATTTCAAAGTTCTTTTATATGACAGAGCTTACTTGGATGACTTTGACTTTGTGTTTAAAACTGCAGAATGATCTCTTTAATGGCATTTCACAAGCAGCAGATACTAAAGTAGTGCATTTTTGAGCACTCACGTCTGAAATGCAGGACAATACAGGCTTAATAAAACATTATGCATGGATCAACATCAGTTATACAATTTGGAGTAGAGAATATAGCATGGTTAAAAGCTCATGAAAGTTGTTGTTCACGTAATATGTCTCCTTTAAACATTTCCAAAAGGGTGACGCAACATTTTACAAGTACAAGTATAGCCATAGTAAGCCATTAGTAGAAATAGATTGATATTGTTTTTCTTTTTTTTTTTCCATGGCTGGTGCTTATGCAGATTGTTTAGAATCCAGAGCAACCCATGACCGATAAACTCTGCTGATGTTTTTGGGCCCAGATGTTGGGCAGATTTTGATAATTTCCCCCAAATTATGAAATATGAATTAACTACCTTCTTCACAGCATTCTTTTTTAACCACAGAACTATAAGAGAGCATTGAAGTCATGTTTTGTACAATTATCTCATTCCATTAAATGTTCTATATTATACAAAATTGACTCTTGTGAGCTTTCAGTCATGTTATAATGTTGTTACCTCATCAAAACATACCCAGAGTTGTTTTGTTTTTTGTTTCATTCACACATTTGAGTAATCCTGGTTTATTAGTGTATACGTCTCCAAAGCTTAAAGTGCTCTGTTCAACCACGTGATGTCATGTAGTGTTAGTTTTAAAGTTACACAGCTACTTTTTATCGGCAATTCAAAGGCTAAAATTATCCAAATGATTCTAGTGAAGGTGTCTAAAGTTTCAACACACAGTGGAAGTACCTCCTGTATTACCAGATGACATCATGATCAGAAAACTTTGTGTGCACTCTTTACTTTGTGTGTACTCTTTACTGTTTATCTCTAGTCATCAGGACATGCATAGTTAGTTATAATGCATTATGAATTTGTTCCATGAGCTAAACATGTCCTCCGTGACATTCTCTTTCAGATGGAGCAGATTAAGCGAGAGAACCGTCTCTACACCAACGACTCCATTTTCCTGAAGAAGTCCCTGTCCATCCCCGTCATGGCTGAGCTGGACGCCTGCATGGCCACGTCTGTGGAGGGGGGCCGGTCTGCGCAAGGGAACGAACTGCTGCAAGAAGATGGCCGAGATATCACCGAGCTCACGCCAAACGATTTTCTCAAACGATTAGATGGTTTGATAAGTCAGTCCAAGCACGCTGCTGTCAAAGGATGCCAGGATGCAGAGAAGAGGTAAGATGTCAGAGGATTGAGATTAAACAACTTCAAATGACAAATTCTAATGATGCACTGTGTCAAATGTTTAAGGATATAACTAATACTCATTACTTTTATTTACCTTCTTTTTATGCATGGCCTTATTTTTATTTTATCAGCTTGTTTTTATTGTTATTGCTCTTTGTTTTATATTGCACTATAACCCCGAAGCAAGTTCCCAGTTTGTGAATTATGTTCACATAAATTGGCAAAAAAAAAGTAAGAAAATATCTGATTCTTTGAAATACGTTTTGGAATATGGATTGCTAATAAAATCTTGTAATACTGTGATATGATTCTAATCACATCCACTGCAAATTTCTTTCATCCTGACATCTAGGGGTGTGCAAAAATATCGAAATATTGATATATCTTATCATTTAATGTGATGATGCAGTATCGATATCGTTGGCTGCTGTATTGCTATATCACCAAGAGTATTTTTTGGTATATTTTACTAAATTATTTTGTTACAGCGCTACAGTTTTGTTGCTTGTTCAGAGGAAGGAAACTTGTTCATGTGACACATTTGACATTTTCACTGTTTTCATGATTTGATGATGAAGTTTCATATTCACTTTGCACAAGCCATGCTTTTGTCATTATTTGTATTGAACCATATCAAATCAATTTGAAATATATTGTACTGGATCAAAAGTGCACTATATCGAGATATGTATCGTATTGTAGCGTATGTATCGAGATATGTATCGTATCGGCAGCTTCTTAATGATACACAGCCCTACTGACGTCCCTACTGTATGCAAAGTACCGTTATGTAGCTTCTTGCAAAATATATTAACTGTGGCCATCCATAGATCAGCAAATAATATTGTTTTATTCTGATGTTTTTACCTCACCATTTTTGGTATTGTCTGTGCAGGATTACAGCGCTTGAAGCCGTCTGCAGCAGAGGCACTTCCTTCAGAAGATCTCAAAGCGCCATTTTAGCTTCAGAACAGAACGAAGCAGTGACTGTCCCACAGACTATCACCAGACTGACCCGGAAGATGAGGGAGAGGGAGGATGAGATTTTTGAACTTTAAAAACAAAAACATTGTCACAAAGACTTAAAAAGGTTTGAATAGTGAGCTGCGCTGTGAACTGACAACGTTTTAGTGAATGAATTGGATTGTGGTTTTCCATTGGTTCACTCAGGGACATGGTAACTGGATCAAAACTAATGGAACAATCAGACTTTTTTGTGTCTAATTTATATTTTTGGCATTACATTTTTCTAAAACAGTTGTTACAATGAATGATTTTTAACATTTTATTTACTGAGGTTACTCGATACCAAATAGAGCAAATTCTAATTTTGTATCAACTTAAATGATCAGGAAATATTGAAATGAAATGCAGATGGCACTTACCTCCTTGGACAAAAAAAAGGAAAAAAAAATCTAACCCACAGCAATAATTACTGTCAAATGGTTTCTGAAATTGTATTTAATTAATTTTGTTATTTTTGTCCTGACATTTTCACACTGTACCAACCAGCGTCTCCCTGGTAACCACAAAGCTTTTGCACTACCTACTGATAAATACACGGTCAGGATCATTTTGTTAACTAGTAACTGTACACACTTAAAGCTGCACTATTTACATTTTTGATGGGTCTGCCACCTGCTTGTCTCCATGGAGATGTTATTGCTTTTTCTGGAATATTCCACAATACGGCATTAAGATGATCTATCATGCATTTATCCAATTACATTTGTTTATACTGGTAAAAAACAACTTGATAACATGCATTCTTACAGTAAGGGGGGATGACTTTCCATAGATCTGACCTGTAACTGTTTATGTCATACTGTGGTACATTTGGGGCAAAGAAATTACATGGAGACAAGCAGATAGTGGACTCCCCAACAGGAAAGTTACATAGTGTCCCTTTGGGGAAAAAAATAATGTGTGAATTCACTGTACAATGTTTTTTTTAATTTTTTTTTTAAATTATGACCTGGTATAGAACTGACCGTACACTGTATAGAGAACTGACAGACCAGTTAGCAAAGGATGTTTTTTACAATCTAGCTGCTGATACAGGAATACTTTTGTTTTAAAGGGTCCGTATTACACGATGTTCTGACTTGTTATAATGTTTCCTCATCAAAAACATACTCAGAGTTGTGTTTTGTTTCATTCACACATTTAACACACAAACCCTGCGTATTAAAGCTGAGTTCTTCTTGCAAATCGAAAACTCTGTGTTCCATGTGGTAATACAGGAAGTGCTCCACTGTGTTTTTAAAATCCATACACCTTCATTAGAATCATAAATGATTAGGGGTGTAACAGTAACCGAAATATGGTGATATCGTATCGTCAGAGTTCTCACAATAATATCGTGGACCATCACAATGTATCAAATTAGAAGTCTCTTTGCTTAAATGAAGATTTATGGTGCAGCAATAGCTAAAAAAAAAAGACAAAGGGAATTATATAGACCATGGTCCTTTGCTCCATTTCAGTGTATACTACAAGAAGAAATAACAGTTCTAAACACTTCTTAGTTATTTGGATTACGTTTTGTCAAGGCATTTTAAGAGGAAAAAGTACTGTTTGCCTCCACAAAATATCTCAATAAAGATCATACTGTTAGTTGTATATCAGGAAAATATCGTACCGTGAGATTTGGATATTGTTACATCCCTAATGGTGAGCCTCCCCACCATATCATGAGCTTTCCCACAATATCAGAATAAATATCGTACCATGAGGGTGATACCATGACAATATCGTATCGTGAGACTTGGATATCGTTACACCCCTATACATGATAATTTCAGGACTGGAATTGACAATTTCTACTCAACTGAAGGTAAACAGTAGCTAATGACTAAACTACCATTTTGTATTATTGAAAAACATAATACAAAATGGTATAACATTTAAAAACTACTGAAAAACTACCACTACATGACAAAATGCTCTGTTCCACCTTGTCATCACAAGGTGGAACAGAGCATTTTGAGCTTTTGAGACTAATAATAAAGGATTATTCAAACGTGTGAATGAAACACAACACAACTCCTGGACTGTTTTGATGAGGTAACAACATTTTAACATGTCTTAAAGCTCACAAGAGTCAATTTAGCGTAATATGTGACTTTCATAGAATAGTTTTGTTTACCAAAGTTGCCGTTTTACAATGACATTTGTCCTCAGACTTCCTCCAGCTCCTGACTGGCTCTGCTGATTACATAACAGGAGGCAGACTGTGTAGCACTGATTTGACCGCTCCCATGTGACAATGGGACGTGATCATTCTGGAACAAAGTGTGTTTTGTTCTGGAGACAAATCGCCACATGTCGAACAGAACCAGCTATAATGACGATACGCTGTCTATTGTGGAACGAGCTGTACCTGATTTTTACTCTCTTAAAAACGTGAAAAATAGAACTACTTTTTTAAAATGGCTTGCAGTTGTCCAGAGTTATTCCTCACTGACTTTATGCATTCAGAGCATTTTCATTATTTTAGTTTTGTCATCAGGATAATGCTACTGAACTGTAAAAGTATCATATGAAAAAATACATGTAAGTAAAAGTAAAAAGTACTTGTTTAAAGAGTAAAAAGTAAAGGATTTTGAGATATTATGAGGCTTCAATTGTAGTGACTTTGATAAAGATTTGTGCTTCATTTTGGTCAATAGAAATACTTAAATCTGTAGTTTTTTGTAGCTGTTTTATTTATGTGTGTTTGCTCAAACCAGAAATTCCTTAAAAATAAACTGTCATTCTTTTCAGCAGGTCCAACAGATGATAAGATAAAATAAGATAATATACTTTTACTTTTCCATTCTTTTAAAACATTTTGTGGAGTAGAAAGTACAGAAGTAGAAATAACTTCTCTCAAATTTGGCAAAGTAAAAGTAAAACATATTAAAACACATTTTAAAATCTATTTAAGTACAAGGATTTTACTACTTTACTACTTTTACTTCATTACATTCCGTTACTAGTTAGAAGATTCCATGTGGAGTTTGCATGTTCTCTCTGCTTTTCCCTATCACTATAAACATATATAATAGTGTTCCCTATCATTAAAAATACATAAAGAGCATGCCAACTGTGCACTTCCTGATTTTCGGACAGTTAAACTCTTTATAATTAGCTACAGGCAGTACACAACAGACTTATTTTGACACCAAGAACTGCTTATACAATATATCTGTAGTAAGGCAAGACACATTTTACTTAAAAATCAGGTACAGGTTCTTTAATGTTCTCAACTGTATTGTTTTTACTTGGGGGTGAAACGCATTTGGGGTTATCGCTTTTGAATTTTGGTTTTATTGTGGTATGGACTGCGTTTGTACAAGGGTTTATGAGACGTAGAGGGAGCGGGCGTGAAGAATTTGAAAGTTGCAGTTAAGGTGGTAGTGGTGGTGGTGGTCATATGATGGGTCAGATGATCGAGACTGAAATGTACTGCAATACTGCTCACGGTGTCACAGCCTATAACAATGTTCATGCTTTCAGTCTGGGATACTACTATTAGTACTACTACTACTACTACTACTACTACTACTACTACTACTACTACTACTACTACTACTACAATTAAAAAGAGTACATTTCTGTCTGGGATAATTCAGTACTTTGTGTAATTGTAAATGAAGTTGTCTTAGGCCCTGTCCACACTAGTACGTTTCCGAGTAGTTTCGTTGCGGATGCAGTGTTCATCCACACTAATCCAATTGAAAAAGGCTCCAGAGACAGAACGATTTGGTGCCGCCAGCTCCCACAAATTTATCTAGGTACGGATCTGATCCAGCACCGTGTGGATGCCTGAAAACACTGATACGCTGATATAGATCTTTGCACCACAAAGTAATTCAACGCCAGAACGCTAAGAGGCTAGCATATATTCATATACACAGTCTTTGCGTGTGACCTGCAGACGTATAATCTCTGAAAAGTTTCACATGAACCATCTCCAACATGACAGAAGCACAGAACAGACTCACCATCAGGAAAACACCCCTCGTTCACAGAAAGAACACAATTAATCCACTGAGTCCTTTAGTCTGACAGTATTGAGCGCTCACTTTATACAAATTAGCCATGCGGTTTTAAGTTTGTTTCTATAAAACGTAAACAAATGTGCTCAAAGCTGTGTGGATAAGGAAGGACTGCGGACACAGAAACGACGCGTGCGGACGCAGATCGTTTCTGATACGGTGATAAGTGGATTCGTTTCAGTGTAAACGGGGTCTTAAAGATGCGCTTTGTATCTTTTTGTTTGGAGGTCCGTCACCTGCTTCTTTCCATGGACATGTTATTGCTCTGCCTGGAATGTTCCACAGTATGACATTAAACAGCTCTACCTTACATTTATTAATTTACAGGTGGTTTTATATCTCAAAAATACCTAGAAAAACATGAATTCTGACTGTGAGTGGGGTTGGCTCTCCACAGATCTGACCTGTAACTTGATCTGTTTTAGTCTCCATGAAGATAGAAAGATGTATTAATGCCATACTGTGAAATATTTTAAACAAAATAATAACCTCTCCACTGAAAATGTAACCAAAGAAACACAAGCAGTAGAATATATTTTCACAGCAGATTTTATTGTTTGTGCTGGGCCATGTTTTAATTTAATTTTGCATAGAATATTTATTAAAAAACATCTGAAATTTTTATCATTTGGCTTGTTGGGGTAACATCATATTCTCACATAAACTCATCAAAATAAAAGAAAACAGTAAACACATTCACAATAGCTGTAAATAATGAGGACGACGTGAAGCTCCTGACAGCGACCACTAGGGGGGGATGTTTTTTCAGTGAAAAGAGGAAGGAAGCAGTGCAGAAGTCAGAGCAGCAGAAAGGAAGTGAACTTTAAAAAAAAACAAGTGAGTAAAAGTGAAATTTACAGTGTAACAACCACACAGGCTCGTTTTTAAAAATTCAATGGTTGGAAAGTGTAACAGCTAAAATTATTTAAAGCAGCATTTTAGTCAAGATGTGAGGAGGGGGTTGGTGATGTGGGGTACTGTAACCATGGATACCGCAGAGATCAACAGACCAAACTGTACTTGTCTCATTCTGCTTTAAAGGTGCATTGTGTAACTTTTCTGGCAGAAGGTCCGTCAAATGCTTTTATATATGGAGATATTATTGCTTTGTCTGGAATGTTTCACAGCAGGGGTGTGCAAAAATAACATCAAAGTATCGATATATAGTATTCTTTAATGTGATATGATACAGTATCGATATCGTGGGCTGCTGTATCGATATATCGCCAAGAGTATTTTTTGGTATATTTTACTAAATTATTTTCTTACAGCGCTACAGTTTTGTTGCTTGTTTAGTGGAAGGAAACTTGTTTTTGCAGCACATTTGACATATCTGTTGTTTTGATGAGTAAAACAGGTGGGTTTCATATTCACTTCGCAAGGTGTGGTTTAACAGGGTGATGCTCTGAAGTGAATGAAATGAATGATGCTTTTGATTATTGCTGGGTATCATTAAGAAGTTGCCGATACGATACATACCTCGATACATAGGTCAGAATACGATACATATCTCGATACAGTGCACTTTCGTTTCAATATAATATATTTCAAATCAATTAGATACAGTTTGATTAAAAAAAAAAAAAAAAAAAGACTAAATCATGGTTGTGCTACTAAAAGTCTTTCTTAAACCACTTCTTGTGCAAACTTAATATGAAATACAAACATTTTAATCATCAAAACTGTGAAAATGTCAAATGTGTCACATAAACGAGTTTCCTTCCTCTACACAAGCAGCAAAACTGTAGCGCCGTAACAAAATAATTGAGTAAAATATACCAAAAAAAAATACTCTTGGCGATATATCGATACAGCAGTCCACGATATCGATACTGTATCATCACATTAAACGATACGATATAATGATATTTCAATATTTTTGCACACCCCTACTTTTGATAAGGATGATGTTTTTAAGATGCTGAGAGAACTGGGAGTGAATGATGATACAGAATTGTTATGACGCTCTGGACATTATAAAGACATTCTTTTTGTATGTTTGATTTTATGAACTATAACATCAACCTGCCCAGGGACGACAGGTGGAAATAAGCACTGGTGCTTTAACCTGGTACAATTCATCTTTACTGTTAAGGTTAATGTGTATTGTGCACTGTCCCTGTCTCAATTAAACTAAACTAAACTAAACTAAGACTTTTAGTATCACAGCCATGATTTAGCCTTTATTTTTTATTGGACCGTACCAAATCGATCTGAAATATATCATATCGAATCATAAGATCACTTCATCGAGATATGTATCGTGGGCTGTGTATTGAAGTATGTATCGTATCGCAAACTTCTTAATGCTACTCAGCCCTAGTTCACAGTATAGCATTAAACCTTTCTATCTTCATCGAGATCAAACCAGGTCAAGTTACAGGTCTGTTCTGTCTAGAGGTGATCCCGCTGACAGCTGGAATGCCTGTTTTTCCAAGTATTTTTGAGCTATAAAACCAGCTATAATTGAATAAACATAAGGTGGAGCTGTTTAATACTGTGGAACATTCCAGGTAAAGTAATAGAAAGTGACAGAGCTCCAACTAAACGTTACATAGTGCACCTTTAGTTACACATTATAGACATATAGGATCCAGAATACACACTTCTTCCAATCCTTTTCAATCCTGGTCACTGGTGAATCTCTCTGTTTGATTGACAGGTGGATTAGCCGATCAAGGACATAAGTGGTTCATTCATATTGGAAAAAGGACATAAAATATGACAGAATATCGAAAAACATGTCAGATTTCTGCAGAATCAATGAACGAAGCACTAAACTCTGTTCATCTGAGGTGAGATAACTTGGATTTTATTTGTAAATGATAAATGACCAATGAGCTCCTTTGTTTCTGAAGACTGAAAAAAAAAAAAAAGGAGATGGAGGGAGTGGGGACCAGACTGATATCAGTTTGTCTAAAAAAAATGCAGAGAGATGTTATTCTGGATTTTCTAGGCAATTTTTTCTTGAAAAAAAAAAACAAAAAACAAAAATGGAAATTACAGTTTGGGAATTGCCATTTTAAATAGCAATCTGTGGAAAAAACATTTTGAGCTTTGGTCCCTTTTGATCCCAACTGCAAACTCTTCTAAATTGAAATATATATTAGATAAAACATTTTTTGTTAGAGAGACTCAGTAACTTGTATCTCACATTTTAATTATGTTCGTGGGGATTCATGAGATGAGCCATTGTGAAATGATCGCTCTTATTGTAGTATATTATGTAGTCCTATTTATTCCCTTATTTAAAACCATGGCAACACATCCATTCGTGTCACAGAAGCTCGGTTATGGTCAAAGAAAGATATGTATGTGCTTTGTAAATAACTAACACAGTCCTGACTTGTGTTGTTTTATCATTCACCTCACTCATCACTCATAGAAATGTACTTTTCAAACACTGCCCTTGCATTTTTAAGTTGCATTCTGGTATATCTCCACCAGATGGCAGTGCCGTATTACCATAAAATCACCACTGCTGTCATGTCTGTGCTTAGCTGGTTTACAAAAATCAGTAGTTATGAAAAAATACAAATTCATACAACACAGAATCTATGAACCAAAATGTTCAAGTGTAGTCCTTTGGTCGAGGGCAAATTTCACCTCAAAAAAAAAAAAAAAAAAAAATGAAATTGGTGAATCCCACGCGTCTTTGCCATTTCCAGCCCCAGATGTCATTTCTCAGCAGTGGTGAGACTTTCCAGAGGTTTCTCCCAGTGTTAAAGCGACCATCATTATTCCTATGAGCCTGTTTGTGGTGGGTCATATTGTCCCTTCCTCCACCAGCTTGTTGAGTCCTTTGCAGATCTTGGTGAGGTGAGGTCTGAAGTCTCCGCTGGGCTCGTACAGTTTGCTGAGCAGTTGGGGGTCGGAGTAGTGGTTGAAGACGTGGTTGATGCGGCCGTGGGACTTGGGCGTGAGGTGGGTGTTCACCAGCTTCAGGAGCAGGTCCCTACAGCTGCTCAGGAGCTCTGACATCACCGCCTGGTCGAACGTGAAGTCCACCTGAGGGACACAACCAGGTATACACATGTTAGAGTAAGGAAATACGCAATCTGATGTTCAGGATGTTTGCACTTGCACTTAAAAACTATTAAAACGCCTCTGTGATACTCACTTTATGTTTAACGGGCATGTTATGCAAAATTGTTTTCTTTTTAAGCTTTCTATCATGTCTGAAGAAGTTTTAAATAGCATCCATGCAAGTTTGGGTAATTTAGCAATCTCTCCCGGGCCCTATTTGAACCCTATTTTTGCTTAGGAGTAAGGGCCTGTTTACATAAGAACGCTTGAGTGTAAAAACGATCAAATATTTGATCGGAAGTGGCTTTCATTTAGACGGTGACGGTGTTTTTGGGGCTTAAAAACGCAAAAATCTGAAACCACCCTCCAGAGTGGAAAAGTTGAATATGCTCCGCCGTAGCGTTTCAGTCTACACTGCCCAAGATGCAAAACTCTGGTCAGAGCTGCTCACTTCACATACGTATTTACGTCACATGCATCAACACCTAATGTCACCACATAGCCGCCTGACATGCATACTCAATCAAATTCCACACACTTTTGCATCACCATATGCACACAGATTTCCTCCTGAAAACGCTCGTCTAAACACGGAATAAAAAGTGAAGATGCAACACCAGTTTTGTGTATTCTGTTCATCATATAAACATAGCCTAAGAGTCTGTCCAATGCTCAGTCCAATAAAACATCCTTGCTTAGTGTGAGCGGGTTTGCATCTCCACAAACCTGACTCTTATTTGGCCTGGAGCTTAGTGACCACCTGCTTGTCTCCATGGGATTTAGCTTTAATATTCCACAGGCATAAAAGACATCAGTCTCTGTGGAGAATATTAAAAAGTATGGTTTTAACTTTCTTTTTCAACGGAATGTGGTGTGGCTTTAAGTTCAGATAAAAAGATTTCCTTGAAACTTAATGCCTTACACTTTTATTGTACTTGGAACACTTAGTGGTAGTAAGCAACTACACACTCTGAGCACCTGAGAGTGTGGTAGCAGGGTCACAGTAGCTCTTGAAAAATTCCTCAAAACTACTTACCATAAATTTTTATTTATTTTTTTTACTTTTTGGTATTATAATATATTGTGATGTGTGAGCTACTGTGTCCAAGTAATTTCTCTTGTGGAACAATAAAGTTTGTCTAAGTCTAAGGCTACGTTCAGACTGCAGGGCTTAACGCTCAATTCCGATTTTTTTGTGAAATCCGATGTTTTTGCGAGGTCGTTCACATTTCCAATTAAATGCGACTTGTATGTGATCCCCTGTGTGAACGTTAAACGGCCCGAAAGTGTCCCGCATGTGCACTGGAGGACACGACGTCATCCGCAGCGAGCGTGTTCTGTGTTTACGGAAGTTGTCCAAACATGGACGCAGCATTGAGCACCTGGATATTTTAAAGTTCCTCTCGTACCGGAGCCAGAACATGAACAACTTAGTTGTTTTAAGGAGGAGATTGAGAAGGAGAAGGATGAGGTTTTTGGCCGTGGTGTTTTGTGGGACAGCGGCAGCGACGTCTGTTGAAAGGAACGTGTGGATGTGGAGACGTAGTCAAGAGTGGTGAGTGGCGATGTGCTTCGCTTTAGTGACACGGAGTTCATTTACAATTTTTGCCTACTTCAGCGCAGAATAGTGATGTTTGTGGCTTATTGATAACATGTAGGTCGGATGAATGCGCTTTGGCCGTTCACACTGAAGTCGCATGTCAAAAGATCGGATATGTATCAGTTTCAGGAGCACATATCCAAGTGGCCTGGGTCACATTTGAAAAAATCGGATCTGTGTCATTCAGACTGTCATTAAAAGATCGAATACAGGTCACATAGAAGCCAAAAAATCAGATTTGGGTCACTTCAGGCTGCAGTCTCAACGCAGCCTTAGTCTAAGTCTAAGTGGCCACAGCCGCCCTGGGTTAGACTGATAGAAGCGAGGTCACCAGTCTGCATCAGATAGTAGTAGTAGTAGTAGTAGTAGTAGTAGTAGTAGTAGTAGTAGTAGTAGTAGTAGTAGTAGTAGTAGTAGTAGTAGTAGTAGTAGTAGTAGTAGTAGTAGTAGTGGGGGGGGCTCTCCTCCTCTCCTTGTCATTATTGTCTGTACTGTGTTTTTGTTGTATGTGCTGATGTTGCAGAGGGGTTTCTTCTTTTTTCCTCTTTATTTACTGGTTCCAGATAGTTAGTGTCCCAGATTCCAGACAGTTAGTATACATTTTCTGATTCCAGATAGTTAGTTGTAAAGAAGATAGCTATGTCAGATTCCAGATAGTTAGTAGAAGGAGTAGAAGTAAAAGATAATTATGCCACAGATAGTAATCTCAAGACCCAACTGTTTACAGTAGTTTAGGAAATGTGGAAATGTGGAATTGTTTTTAATCACTGTAAAGCGCTTTGTGTTGCATTTTTGTATGAAAAGCTCTCTATAAATAAAGTTTGATTGATTGAGTAGGAGTAGTACTAGTAGTAGTAGTACATAAACACATGATAACCCAAAGAATTATACTGTCCCAGATCAGTCACAAATGAAACTGCATGTGGAAAAATCTGAACAAAACCAGAAAATTCAATTAGTAACATGTAATTTTAAAGTCTCTCATTGAGTATTCACACTGCCTTCTACTGAAATGACAGTAAATATAACTCGTTCTCTCACCTCGTAGAAGCTGATGGCCGTCATGGCTCCCATGTGCAGCTTCTTCTTGAAGTCCTGGGCGATGATCAGCTCCTCGGGGGTGAACCGGTTGTTACGAAACAGGACTCCGATCTTCACAGCGATCTTGATGAGGTCCTTCACCACCTTCTGCGCCTCCGTCTTGTTTCCGGAGTATTCCTTGGACACGCGGTAGAGCTCGTCCAGGATCTCACTGGTGGTGTCGTCTATGAACATCTGCACCGAGCTCTTGGTGGCCATGCTGCTCAGGATCTTCTTCTGAGCCCTCATGGCCATGTCCTTGGAGCTGAACGTTTCCATGGCGACCTGGGAGACAAATCAGAGTTACAATCAACCTAAACTTAACCAAACACAATTTATTTATTTATCTGATAGGGACGGTGCATATTAATGAACATCTGTGTAAATAATAATAAATAAACAGTGTAAATATGACAGACAATAGCAAAAAAATTTTATAAATCCATCTTTTGTCCCTCGGCAAGTGACACAAAGAAAAATACAAAACAGTAATACAGAGATAAAAGAACCGTCCTCATCCACAGTTTAAAGTGCAGTTTGAATGTAGCTCGAGATGGACTTTCTCTAATTGTAAGTGGGAGATTGTTCCAATAATTAGTCTCTTTGACAGACAGTACAATGTGTTCAAATGTGGTGCGTCGGTGTGCTACTTCACAGTCTCCTTGAGCTGTGGCCCTGACGGCCTCCCATTCACAGTCATTAGTTTTATAAAGTCCTTCAGTGGAGTAGGAGAGTCAGTGCAAAACTTTGGATATAAGTTAATAGTTTTCGAACACCACAAACTGCGACTTCTATCAGATGCAGCTTGGCTTCAGAACCAACCAACCACTTGACTGAAACAACTGAAAACACCAGAGCGCTGGACTGGGGAGGTGTGTGCTGTAATTTTGTATTTAAAAAGGCTTTTGAGACTTTCAGCCACAAAGTGCATTGAATCCTATTTTGCCAACATGCCCAAATCCCACCACATCAATCAGCGGCTCTCAGTCTGTCCACCATTGTCACTTTTTGGTCCACATCGGCGCCTCTGTGATGCTCCGTTTATGTTTAAGAGGGCGTGTTATGCAAAATTGTATTCTTTTTAAGCTTTCTATCGTGTTATAACTCTATTCCCTCAGCAAAAACTATCATCCATGCATGTTTGAGTGATTTAGCGATCTCTCCCGGGCCCTCTTTATGCTTAGGAGTAAGATTCTGTCCAATACTCAGCTCACAAGCCTACTTCACCCGTGCACCCATCACAATTTTCCATAAATATACAAAAACATAATGCAAAACCGTACGTGGCAACTCGACAAACCTGATGCAACGTGCAGCAGTTTCATCACATTAGCAGATTGTGTTATGATAGTGCTCTGAAACGGGGAGTGACTTAACATAAAGAGCAAAGGGAGAGATGCAAATGTCAAAAACAAAACTGACACTCATGAAACATGTTGATCTAAATATGTTACGTGTTAGCAGTTAATTCCCCATAGAAGTAAAATACCAGCTCCAATGACTTTACTTCAGTTTGCAATTATATTTCCAAACTGAAATACCAATTAATAGTGATGACACGAAACACAACTTCCACAAGAACGAGACAAGACGAGAATTTAACATAACTCCTAATATATAAATTTCACGATTCAGTTTCCAATTCTTGATGTACACTACTGGTCAAAAGTTTTAGAACACCCTAATTTCTCCACTTATTTATTGCAGTTCAAGTCGTGCAAGTTCAATTAAGAGCTTGAAATGATACAAAGGTAAATACTGAACAGACAGAGGTTAAAAAAAGATAAAAGATACAAAACACAAGTCCAAGCTCTGCCAAAACTACCTCAGGAAAAGAGAATAAGATGGTAAAGCTTGAAAAAAGCACAGTGTCCAGACTTAAACCCTATCGAGCTGGTTTGGGATGAACTGGACAGAAGAGCAAAAGCCAAGCAACCTACAAGTGCCACACATTTATGGGAACTTCTGCAACAAACTTGGGAAGAACTTTCTGAAGAATATTTGATTTCTACTGTAAAAAGAACGAGCCACGAGTGTGTTCAGCTGTTCTATCTGCCAAAGGTGGACACTTAATGAAGCGAAAGTTTAGAATACGTTTTGGTAAACAGTAAAACACTGGAAAAAGTGTGGTGTTCTAAAACTTTTGACCTGTAGTGTATTTCCAAACAGTTACTAGCGATGGGACGAGACACAATTCCCACAAAACGAGACGAGATACGAGATTAGGTCCACGAGAACGAGACAAGATGAGATTTTAACACAACTCCTACTAGTTTCCAAGTTTGGCGTCACAATTTTTGACATGTTTGATTTCTTTTTTTGTGTGTGTGTGTCCATTGTAGTGCTACTTTTCAGAACTATAAGATATGTAGCTCACCAATGCGTAACACTTTTTTAGTCCAATCTAAATGTAAAATCTCACAAGATCGTTTTCCTCATGTGTCCACGATCTTGTGCCAATGTTGTCTTGCGAGATCTTGTGGCACGAGATCTTGTCCCATCCCTACGAGTTACATAAAAATGCACACACATGACATATCTCTGGTAGCTCACAACCCACAATCTCCATGGTTCAAGTCTCCTCCTGGTCAGAGTCAAGGTAAAGAAAACCTGCCGATGCTTGTGTCAGCTATACAGTTATAATCTATGACATCTGTGGGTCATTGTGTTATAGTTTGGACATTTAAAGACTCAATATTCATCTAATCATCATCACTTAATAAAAGAAACATCACAACAAAGAGTCTCCCCGAATTAATGGCCGAATATCACACTTTTTTTCATTTGTACCACAATGACTGTGCCGTTTATCACCAGACAAGAAAATAAAATTGCAGAAGGAAGTAAGTGCAGAGTAGTAGACGTATTCCAGGATGATAATATGGTGTCTTGAAAATAAGCGATAAAAAATTGCTCAAATATTCACAAATTACTTCAAATACAACTTTTAGATTGTAAATGCTGAGGAAAAACAACTACAGCATGGATAAAAGATCTAAAAAGTTGATTTTGCATAATAGATCTGCTTTAATCACCAATTCCAAACAAACAATCATAGCAAGAAAAATCTCCAACTTTGGTCAAACATTCAGTTGCTAACACAGACAAAACAGAGTCCAGCTTCACTTCCATGTCATTGGCCAAAATTGCGACTTCCTTCTGAAGAAAGAGGAAGTGGCTTTTTACAAAAATAAAAAAGAGGAATTCAATAAAGGTGCATAATTCACACATGATAATACCAGACAGACTAAATACAACTATTATTTTGTCATAACATAACATTGTGTCTAGTTTTATTAAGAGCCATCTGGTAAACATTCCCTTTAAAACCTTGACCTTGGAGCGCAGACAGAGTGGCAGAGTCGTTAGCACTTCCTCATCACCTTAACATGTGGCAGTTAACGTGGTTCTTGTGTCTTGCAGGTGCATTGTGTAACTTTGCTGGTGGAGAGTCCCCTGTTTTGTTTGGAATTTTTCACAGTATGGTATTAAACCTTTTTATCTTCATGGAAACCAACCCAGACCAATTACAGGTCAGTTCTGTGGAAAGACAACCCCACATAGTCAGACTACCTGTTTTTCTTGGTATTTTGAGCATTAAAACCACCTGTAATTGAATAAATGTAAGGTTAAACTGTTTAATGTCATACTGTGGAACATTCCATGATAAAACACCAGTGTAGGTCTGTTATTAACTCATCAACATACTAGTTTTTGTTTTGTCTCAGTACAGATATATTATAAAAGCTAAGGGTCAAAATGAAACTGCTCTGTGCTGCCTGCATCAAACTGAAAAGAACTTCATCCTTTACGAACCAAGTGTGCAGTTAGCATGCTAGTTGTTTTAAGCATTACCGCTATGTCCAACCTAGACATCACAATTTGAACTTTGCCATGGTTAAGAAGAAATTTTATGTTATATTGTCAATAAATTACCGTAAGTGATTTATTGATTTTCGCAAATTTTTTCTCTCTTGACAATACTAAAGGTTTATCCAAAAACTTTTCAGAAAATGTAAAGGGCCCTTATTACGCTATTTTCTGATCTGTTATAATGTTGTTTCTTCATCACAAACAGACCTGGAGGTGTGTTTTGTTTCATTCACACACAAACAACACACAAATTCTGCATTCTGAGTTTTTCTCTTAAACAGAAAACACCAGTTCCACCTTGTGATGTCATGTGGTAATACAGGAAGCACTTCACTGTGTTTTTAAACTCCACACACCTTCACTAGAATCATTTCAGCCTTGAAATTGCCCATCTCTACTAAACAAAATGTAAAAGGTCGCTGTTAACTTGATAACTGTCGCTTCATGACATCACAAGGTGGAAAAGGACATTTTGAGTTTTGGAGAGTTACTCAAACATGTGTGAATGAAACAAAACACACCTCCAGGTCTGTTTTTGATGAGGTAACATTATAACATGGCTTAAAACACACAAGAGTCAATTTAGTGTAATATAAGACCTTTAAACCTATTCCAACACCTCAAGGACTAATTTTGCAATCAACAAATTTCACAGCCAATCATAACCACCTACCATCAGCCCCAAGCTCTCATACAAATGCACTCTCTATTTGATCCTTCATCGAGCTGTTACAGTAGTAATGGGCGTATCGATAACAAAATAGTGATCGGGTATCAAAATGTACTGATTTTCATGCAAAAATATATTACAGTGTGACATTAAACAGTTCTATCTTACATTTATTCATTGCAGGTGGTTTTATAGCTCAAAACACCTAGAAAACCAAACATTTTGACTGTGAGCGGGGTCGCCTTTCTACAGATTTGACCTGTAACTTGGTCTGGTTTGTGTCCATGAAGCATATATATTTTTTCTTTCATCAATCTTTTTACACGGTATCGGTATCAAATCTATTTTGCAATACCTGCCATATTACTCGGTATCTTATCAAAACTAAATTCTCTGGTATTACCCATTGCTATAATTACAGATACAGGCCTTTGCCTCATCTCCGCCACAGCAGCAGACTTATCAGCTCCCTCAATCTATCTACGTTTTTCATAACCACTGCCAGACGGAGATCTCAAAATTCACACCATTTTGTAAAATAATCTGATAATCTGTGTTTCATTTCTAACAAGTATTGTGATTACATTTTAGATATATATTTTCAAATCAAGATCAAGTTCACAGTGCACTTTTAAAACTTTTTAAATATTTGAGAGCATGTTTGTAAAGGCTGAATACAGGGCTCAAATTCAAATTCAAATTTTATCATAAAAGACTGTTGTTTACCAAGAAAATTCTGTTT